TTTCGACCCCGCGTTTCCCCTGACAGGCACTCGCAGATGCCGTGGAGTCCAATCGCACCGTCACCGTCAACGTCAACTACCGCCAGCTCGGAGGCAAGGGCGCCAAGGCCAGGCGGGGCCCTCGGGGTTCCAGCCGGCAATTTTGCATCCTTCAGATGCTCTGAAGTCACCCGCATACTGTCACCCGCGTCGACCTCGCATGGAATCGAAGCAAAGATGAGTAAGGTTGCTCGGGCCGTGGGGCACCCGAAGCTTCGGCGAGCTTGTGGCTAAATCTGAAAGTTGCGGCCAGGACATCGAAGAATCGCGGAAGCACTTTGAAGATGCAGCGAAGTCCGAGGTCGGGGCCCTAGCGGCGATAGCATCCTCCAAATCGCGGGGTCCTGCATATTGTTCCTGATTCTTTGTTATGTGCATCGTGCGCCCGGGTCTACGACATACGGATCTTCAGCACCTCCGGAACTCCGGAGACAGCAGGCTCTCTTGCCGGAACTGATTTACAAACTCACGACAGAGGCAGAGACCTTGGAGTGCGCATGAGCCGGGGCGAGGTGGCCGAGGCCTTGCAGGTTCTGGCCGGGCCTGCTTGCCTAGGCAGAGCAGTGCAGCTGATGTTTGAGGGAGTAGTGACCCGAATCCGTGTTGCACACTGCGTGCCTGTTGGCGTTTGCTGGGTGGGTCCCAGCGATGAGGTCACGATGTGTTTATACACTGATGTGCATCGCTGATTGCAAATGCTTGGTTCTTCTGGACGGCATCTGCTGCCTGCCGGAGGATGGCTAAAAGTACTCTTCGTGGGGCAGGTTGACTATTCCCGACAAAAAACGGTTCCACATGAGACGGTGGCCTGTGGGCGGGGGGGGGGGAAGGGGGCGGGGCAGGACGGCAGGACTGCACTGTCAGAACCGGAAGCGAGCCTTCCCAAACCATCCTTAGCGGAGCTCTGCCAAGGCTTGGACGGGGAAAGTGCGCATCAAGGACTGCTGTGCCGTTCTCCGGGCAGAGTCCGACGTGCTTAGATGCACTGTGGTTCCCGTGCCAGGGCCTCGCGTCTCAGCTGACGACCAACAGCGGCACCACCCGACTAGAACTCGAAAACCAGCACATCACAGCGGAGGTCTGCCAGGCGCGGTGCCCGCCCGGTATGCTCGCAGTCAACAATCAGATTTGCATTCACCAAAATCGAGAATTAATGTCTTTCTGGCTTGAGTCCCGTCGCGAGGCGC